GTGGTTTGGTGAAATCATAGCATATGAATCCCGGGGTGCCTTGGACTTGCTGTGACCCTCGGCTCAGCCTGCACTGGGCTGCCCACACAGGGGCCAGCAGGGGCTCCAGTCACCTGGACAGGTGCTGCTTTCGGGTATTGTGAGAATACTTGGGTATTGCTGAAATCCTGGTGCTGCTCTGAGCTCCACAAGGCTGGGTGCTGTCACTCAAGCTCACAGCATACCTGTCAACACCTCTGAGGGGCTAGTCTGGTGTGCCCCCCACCTGCAGCTCAGCTCTGCAGCACCCAGCTGTTTGCTTGCCCTGAGTTTTGTGGCTGCTTATATAGAGCTGCCCTGACACTCGTGGGAGTTCACCTTCAGGCTGTGAGAGTCCTGGGCACTCACCCAAGCCCAGCTCCCTTGGAATACAAAGTGGCCATCCCAGACCCAGCTGTTAGATCATATTTCTAAATGAAAGTCTTTGTCCTCACAGTGTGGACCCTTGGGTGGCCCACAGCCACCTTTGTCACACTTTCCTCCTTGGCCAGAGTCTTGATGCTGTAATGTTTCAGATGATATACTTATCCTTCCCGGGTGCTGCCTATGTCTTTCATCAAAACTTGACCTGTCAGGCACAGCTGAACTAACAGGACTCCACGTGTCTGTACTCTGAAGCTTGTTTAGAGCTTCTAGTGGCAATACCCTGGTGTGTGAGGGCAGAGCATACCGGCGCTGCCACGAGGACAGGGAAGGCTGTGGGTGACACCGAGTGGCCCTCACACGTGGAGAAAAGCAGATCTCAAGAAGCTGTGAGGCCTGTGCTTGCATCGCAAGGGACACTGGGCAGTGAACTAGGTTGGCAGTGGACATTCCAGTCCTGAGAGGCAATGTTCACCCTGAGTCCAGCTTGCAGAGAACATAGGTGTCCTGGAGGAGGGAGGCAGCTCCTGCTCACACGCAGGGGGCCAGCACTGTTACGGGGGAGTGAAACTCCCATGGGATGTGGAAGGCCATCAGCCTGGCTAGACCACAGCCTCTTGGGCCCAGCCAGATGGCCACCCCAAACATATTTGAGTCCAGGCTTTTCCTCTCATTCCTAAAGTCTGAGGTCTCTGCTTTAATGGGAGTCTTTCAGAAGCAGGTCTGGGGACAGGAGCCTCGGAGAAGAGCACCTGCATCCCCCACTCACTGTGAGGTTGGGGCATCTCCCATCACCCCAGAACATTCCAGCATCTTGGCACTCCTTCCCAAGCCCAGAGCAGTGGGGTCGTAGGACAACTGGAGGTCACCCAGCCCCCGTTGGGTCTGGCATGCTGTGGCCTGTCTGTGCCATTTTTTTCTAAATTAATTTTGGGCTGAAAAAGGCTCAAAGAAGGCTTTGTTCCTCTGACACCACTCTGGAAGAAAGGCCCGTGGGAAATCTGACGTCTGCGGCACAGAAGTGAGGAGATGGGGAGGAGCATGGCACCTTCCTCTTCCAAAGATGCTTCAGGATCTTGAGTGTCTCATATCAGCTTAGAATTTGAATGACATTTTAATTATTTTGTTTTTTTCTTCTTTTCCTAGTTTGAATCTCCAAAGAGTCCCATTCTCAGGTTTGGAGGGATGCGGGGTGCAGTGCCAACTCCCGAGCGTCAAGGGTAGCACTGTGCTCCTGCCTAATGGACATAATTCACCGACAGCCAGTGGTTCTGCCATGTGGGCATGGGACAGAGCCTCGGGTGGTGGGGCACACTCAGGTCGTGGGCAGCTAGACATACTGGACTTGTTGAAGCACCGAGTTCATACAACCACGTGCAAGGTGGAAACTCCAGCTGGACTCCAGCTCCACTGCTTTGTGATCTGAGCAAACCTAGTTTTCCGGGAGGTGACTTGGTTGTCAGAGTAACTCATCCAGCGAGTCTTTAAATAGCAGTGCTCCTGGGAGGCAGAGCACGACTCAGCTCTACTCCCTGCACCACACGTGGCTCCCCTGTGGCGTCAGGATGGGCGAGAGATGTGACTGCTGTACCAGGACTCGGCCACACCAAAACCAGCCCTCACATTCAGGTGTTGCTAGGTGGTGTCACATGTGGCCCATGCATGAGGCACATGTGATCCTGTAGGTGCCGAGTTAGGCTCATGTGTCCCTAACTCCCTTGCAGTCATTTGTCTCTATCCCTGGAGTGTCTGTTGCTGTGGTCAAGCACTGTCCTTCAGGAGCCCAGGCCAGCATCTCCAAGGGGCCACAGCCCCTCCTGCTCTACCACTTGGTCAGTCTCCTGGCTCCACACTGTGAGCACATCTGGAACTGGACATGTTCCTCCTCCCACACTGCCCTGCCCAGGTCAGCCTGCCCATATGGCTACAGAAGCCATGGCCTTTGCCAATTCACACACCACCCAGCCCAGCCAGAGCCCTCAGCCACTCCATGTATGAAGGTCAGTGTGTCAACCTGGAGCTATCCCCCAATCTCAGCACTGCTGGAAAAGTAATGTGCAAATGTGATTATACGTGTCATCGATTGACTTTTGTCAGCATGGTTGTCCTTGCATCCTGGATGACACAGTAAACTTATGGCCTGTGGACAGCAGTTCCAGACTCTGCCCAAAGATCTGGTGTCCTTCCTCATGGCCTCCCTGTGGATCTTGGGCTTTCTAACCAGCTCTCTGTGCCAAGCTATTTGTCTAGTTAACCTCACGCTCTGTGCTGACAGGCTGGTCTGGATTCTCCAGGACCTCCCGGCCTCCCCTGTCTTGGCCTAGCATTGTCTTCTCTGCTCCAAACCAGTCATTGCCAAGCCTCACACTTACTATATCTGCATCTGTACACTACTCTCCCTTCCCTCTTATAGCAGCCCCTGGCCTTTTCAGGGTTGCCCCGTCTTCTCAGGCCATCTCTGTTCACCCCTCCACTTACAGGCTCTTCTCCTGATGTGAACCAAATGCTTGTGTCTCCCCAAATTCATGTGTTCAAATCCTGACTCCCAGTGTGGTGATGATAGGAGATAGGGCCTGACACTTCCTGATTCTTCCATTGGAGGAGGCCTCATGAATGGGATTAGTGCCCTGATAAGAGGGTCCCCAGAAAGACCCCCTCACCCTCTTCCTACCATGTGAAGGTATAGCAAAAGGTTGGTTGTCTGCAAACCAGAAGCAGGCCCTCACCAGAACCAAACATGCCAGCCCCCGACCTTGGATTTCCAGCCTCCAGACTGTGAGAAATGTCTGTTTATAAGCCATCCACTGTGGTACTTTGTCAAGCAACCTGCAGCGCCCTCTCCTACTCTTTCTTCTCTGCATCTCTGACATGCCTGTCCCCCCCAACCCCAGGATGCACCTCTTCTGTGTCTTGTGAGCACTCAGTTCAGTTCTGCAAACTGATGGTGAACGGATGATGGATGAATGGACCAGTGGATGGATGAATGGATGAATGTTCAGTTGACAGAGGATCAGTGAATGAGTGGATGAATGGATGGATGGATGAGTGAGTGGGGAATGGATGTTGGGTGATAGATGTATGATGGCTAGATGGATGGTGGATGGATGAATGAGTGGGTAGATGTTGGATAGATGAGTGGTGAATGGTGAGTAGTAGATATATGAGTGGGTGATGAAGGATGGATGGATGAGTGAATGATGGATGAATTGACAGTAGATGGATGATGGGTGGGTGGATGATTGGATGATTGGTGGGTGAATGAATGGACGAATGATGGGTGGGTGGACAAAGGACAGATAGAGAGATGAATGGATATTGAATACATGGATGATGTATGGATGAATGATAGATGAGTGGATAGATGATGGATGGATGTTGGATAGGTGATTGATGTATGGATAGATGAGGGATGGCCGGATGAATGGATGGGTGGATGATAGGTGGGTAAATGTGTGGATAAGTGATAGAATACTGGTTGGTGGATGATGGATGAGCAGACAGATGGTGACTGAGTAGGTGGATGATGAGTTGATGGATGGAGAGAAGAATGGGTAGATGATTGATGGATGCGAAGACAGATGATAAGTGGGCTGGTGGATGGATGAATGGATAGATAACAAGTGGCTAGTGACGGTGGATGGATGATGAGTGGATGGATAGATAGATGAGGGTTAGTGGGTAGATAATGGTGGATGGATGAATAAATGGATGAGTGGATAAATGATGAGTATGGAGATGGGTGAGATGGATGGATGATGAGAGGATGGGTGGATGGATGGTGTAGATGGAGCCAGTGGGACTTTTCCAGATATGGCTTAGCTGCAGGAACCACTGTCTCAAGAAGCTACCACTTTTATGAAGTTGTTTCTCTCCTTCCAGCTCAGCTAGTATGGAAGAGACAAAAAAGGACTGTGTCTCAAGCTGAGGTTTTTGTTCTGGTGGGGGAGGGGCATTTGTTTCTGACGTAAAAGCAAATCACATGACGTGGACACTGCCTAAGAGAAAGTGGGTGGGGCCCATGCCCTGACCCCTCTGGACGTGGGGGCGGGGCGGGTAGCTGACCGCTAGGTGGAGTAATCACTGTCTACACTTGCTATTTGGGGTCTTGTCTGACCCAGCATGGACAGGCAGCTTCTCACTGGTCTGCAAGCTTCCCTCACCCACGTGTCCTCACCACCAGGCAAGTCCGTGCACGACCCCTGCTCAGGGCAGTAGAGTAGCTCACATGGACACCCTACCAGCCTGTGCTTGGGCTTCCCTCACATGCTGCTAATTGGCAGTAAAAACCTTGTGTGTGGGAAGGAGGGAAGGAGGGAAGAGAAAGAGAAAGTGCACTGACTTTATAGAAATGAAGCCACAGTTTGTAATGTGACTTGTTAAGTGGGAAGAGGCCTGCGTGTGCCTTTCATGAAGCTTTTGGAATCTTACTCTTGGAGTCTTTCATGCAGGAAGTTAGGCCTTTCCTGAGACCCCCCACAGTACAGCTCTGGCCTCCATGGATGGTCACTTTTCACCCTTGGAAGCTGTTCCTATTCAGGGTCATTGCTTTATGACCTCCAGTCCCTGACACTGATGCTGTCCACTTTCTTCCTCTGCAGGGCCTGATCAAGATCCGGGGGGACCGCTGCTGGTGGGACCTTACCTGCATGGACTTCCACTATGAGGTGAGCACAGGTCCAGCCACATTCTACAGCTGGAGCCACTATGCTGTCCCTGGGTACACATGGATGTCCCCTCCTCCCTCCTTTCCCTTAGCTGGGGGTCAGGTCACCAGGGGGGGCTTTCAGAGCATCACCCACCTGATGGCTGGTGGGATGGGCATCTGGTCTGCACCAATTGCAAGTCCAGCTGGATACTCTGGTTTTTCTTATCCTGCCCAAGCTCCTGGGCCAGCTTGTGCCCTGTCCTCCTGGGGGTTGCGGCTCCCCAGGTGCACCACTTGCTCAGAGGTGCAGGGTGGGGGCTGCTCTGTGACTCTGTCACACCCTGGCAGATAGGACTCCTGTGCTCAGGCTCCCAAGTCCCCTGTCCCACCCACAGCCAGGACTTCAAGCACCAGCCCTGGACCCTCATCTCAGATCCTCCAGACAGGCGTGGCCCTGCCAGAGGCTCACATGCTCATCTTGGGGTGGGGACAGGGATAGCATCACCTTGAGAATTAACTCAGGGGTGTGTGACATCTAGGTGAAGTTCATCTGTTCTGTATCACGGTGCCCAGGAGAGCCTTTGTGTACATCACCTGTGTCACCCGTCCTGCTCTCTGTGCATTTGGCTCATTGCCCATTCTTGGGATAGGAAGTGGATCATTACCTGCTCATCTGACCAGAGACCACATGTGCCAGTCTCACTGCCTTCAGTTTACAGTCCTGAGTTTGGGGCTCTTAATGTCCTCTGGACACTGAGGGTATATAGCCCCTTGTGCTATGGGTCTTGTGTGCTCTGCCTTGCGTCACTGTGTCACTCAGCTGGGCAGGATGCACCACTTGCATTGTGGCTGCCTGGGATGTCTTAACTTTGATGTCCGAGACTCCTCTTGTCCAATCGTATATCCCTCAGAAATCCCGACCCTGCCCTACGTGAGACCCCGGAAGCTTCATTGCCTTGGGTTGGGACATTCTCTTTGTGAAGCACCAGAGAGGAAGGGTCTCCAGTTCCTGCTGTGATGGAAAGCAGCCATGTGGGACAGATGCCTGGTGTGTGCAGAGAGGTGTTTGCACACCAGGGCCACAGCTACCCTGAGGATGAGGCCCAGAGCCCTCAGCCTGTTTGGTGAAGCCTGGGCTGTCCCTGCCCCATGGGGACAGGGCATCTCACCAAGGCAGTCCTACACCCAGCACAACTGGTGGCAGGGCCATCGTCGGCACAGATCACTTACAGGTTAGGCATCAGTCAATCTGGGAGCTTTATGGCTTCAGATTTCAGGAGGAGTCAACACATCTACCTCCCTTGCTACCACACAAGGTCTGCTGGACAGATGGACTGTGTCTAGCCAGTGCGCTCTTGTCCCACTGCAAACCTAGGTCTGTGCGAGAACCCTGGGGCATATTTAGATCTATGCCTGCTCCTCAGAGCCTGGCCACCAAGATGCATGGGGGCAGGTGCTCCTGTTAGACTTGGGTTACGTGGCTACCGCCAAGCTGGGACCAGGAAGATCAGAGGAAAGGGGGGGGCCGTGAAGTTTCCCCACCATCAGACTGCTTTGACCTGTGAGGGGCCAGGTGAAAGGGGTCATCCCAGTGCTGCTCTGGGGTCCCACAGTGTCAGCCACCAGCTCTCTGGACCACAGTTGTGGGCCCCATTGCACTGGGGAGATGACAGAAGGATACACCGAGTCCGAACCCTCTCTGGTCAGGATGACTGGCTGGCTGCAAAGGGCACAAGCCGGGAACAGCCCTGGGAGAGAACCTAGATACCGCCTAGGCCTCATCTTGATGGTAGCAGAAGGTACTTGTCCTGCCCCAACATCAGGGAAAGGGCCACTTAGCAGCGCAGGCCAGAGCCAGAGTGGGCTGCCTGGGACAGAGCCAGGCCTGTCTGGCACAGAGGAGAGTAGGGTTCAGCGGGGAGGAGGGACCTCAGAGACGGGCAGTTCCTCCCTGGTTGTGCTGGCTCACAGTGCAGCCTGCCACTAGTCTTGGGCTTCATTTCCTCAGGACTCCATAGTTGGCATTGGCCTACATAAGACTGTCTTTCTGATGGAACTTTTGTCATTTGTGTTTACTGGTAGTGTGTGATTCTGGGCCTTTGTTCTCGGTGACATGTGGCTCATGTGCAGTGGTGCAGGCTATAAAGGGAGGCTGTCAGTCAGGGAAGTGCAACCAGGGCAGGGACTCAAACTGACAGTGAGTACATGGCTGTGCCCAGGGACCAGGCCATGGCCCTTGAGTGCCTGGAGCTGGGTGGTCTGATGACCCCACAGGGACCAGGGCCAGGGCCTGGATGGCTCCATGTCAGACACCTATTGTGAGCAGCCTATCCAAGGCGACCCACAATCTCTGTCCAGTTTGACTAACAGTTGGGGTTCCCACAGCCCCTCCTAGGGTGGGATAATTTGTAGTACAGCTCACAGATCTCAGGCAACATTTTATGATTCCGTTTATTGTGAAGGAGACAATCAGGAACGGCCAGAAGGAGATATGTCACCCCCCATGACCCCTTGTATCACCAGCCCTGAAGCTTGAGCCCTGCTGTATTGGGTTTTGTGGAAGCTTCGTTACATGGGCAGCTGGTGACTCACTGGCTGTTGGTGATTAAGTCCACCTGCAGTGCCCTCCCCAGGGTGAGGTGGGCAGAAAGTCCCCCATTCACAGAGCAGATGTCTAGACCAGCCCACCCTCGGAGAGGCCTCAGTGTGAATGCTGGTGTGGCTTAGTATAGACAACCGCAGATGCCCATTATCCCGTCCCTCAGAACTTCAGAGGGTTTTAGGAGCTATATGCTGGGAGCCTGGGTAAAGATCAAGTGCAGGTACCCTCTGCTTACGATGGACTGGGCCCTGTAGAAAGTGCAATCAGCAATGCTGACCCTCTCTCTCTTTTGAAAGCCCAGCACTCTCTAGGGTGCCACTGGCCCTGGGTGATTGGTGGGCCAGCCAGGCATTGCCCCTCACTGACCAACACTGAGAGGACCATACCACATATCCCTAGTCCAGGGAAAGATCAAAATTCTAAGTATGATTTCTGTTAAAAATGCAAGTCTCTTTTGCACCACTGTAAAGTTGAAAGAATTCTGAACTGGGGGCTGTCTGTGCCTCTCATCAAGTCACTGTATCCCAGAGTCAAGCCAGGGCCACCAGCAGCCATGCTGCCCATAGCACTGTCCACATGGCCTGCTTGTCCTTGGGAGGCTGGAGTGTGTGTCCGTGTGACTTTGTGGTTCCTGTGACCTGGGGAGAGGCTGACAAATTACTGGAATCTGCTTCTCTCATCAGCACTGTCCTCTAGTGTCACACACTCACAGCGCCTTCATGTCTCCTGGTCACTGTGTTTGGGACTCTGGCTTAGCATCGTGATGCTGATCCCTGCTGAGCATCATGCACTGCTGAGCCTCTGTCATGGTGGTCACAGTCAGCTTCTGAAATGCTGCAGCAACCCTGCGTCCACCACACTTGGTTAAGGAGAGAAACAGGAGTGCAGTTCACCTGGTGCAGCTCTGTGCATGTCTGCAAAGTGCATGGCATCCATTCAGAGCAGTGTGGCTCCTAGTGAGCTACATTCCTGAATTCACAGGGTGGGGAGATAGGGAGTCAGCAGGTCTGAGCTGACCAACCTCTGAAGACTTTGATACACAAGTTCTTTCCTGAATTTACCCTCCATCCCAGGCCCTCAGGCTATACTGTAACAGGGATGAGTGTGTTTTGGTTCCCAGAACTGTGGAAAGGTATTCTGTGGCTTAACAAGTACCACAGCCAACCACTGTGGACTTCATCATGTGACTTGTGCCTGAGAATGTAGCATCTTCGTATCGCTCGCTCTCCCTCTCTCCCCCTTGTCTCCCTCTCTTTCTGACTTTTTTGCCTCCCTCCTTCTTTCCCCGACCCTGTCTCCCTCTGTGTGTATGTCTGTCTCTCTCTCTCTCTCTGCTTCCCTCTGTCTGTCTCTGCCCCCGTCTCTTTGTCTCTCTCTTTCTGTCTCTGTCTCTCCTCTCTCCCTGTGTCCCCTCTGTTGCTTTGGGGCTGCATGGCAGTGAACAAGTAACGGAAGTTGATGCTGTTGTTTGCTCCAGAGTCAGGCGGGCCAGGCTGACCTTTAAACCAGGGAAATAAATCACTTTCCACTCCTATTATTTGTAAAGTCTACAGCCTCCACGTGCATAAAGAAGCCTTTGTGTGTTGGTAGTTGTTCTTAAGTTAGGGTTTCAGGCTCACGGTGAGAACAGCTGACATACGGGTCACCTCCACCATGGTCAACACGGAGCTCCTGACAGTACAACACAGTGCCTGGGAACCTCTGACTCCGTATGGCGGTTGGGCACCTCTGTGCACATTTGCATTTGTCTTTGTTGGGGAGCATACTGTATGTACACATGTGTTTATGCGTGTGTGTGTGTGTGTGCGCCTTCCTGCTGAGTACTCTTGCAGGTGTGCAGACAACCTACAACATGGCCATCTGAGCACCGGCCTGAGCCTCGGGCTCCATGCTCACTTCCCTGTCACTCTGCTTCTCTAACCATCAATATAACGTGTGTAAGGACAGCTTTACTTGGTATTTCTAGAAGTTTCTCCCCTTCCTCTGGAGATCGGGAGGCCCCCTCACTTCCTGTGCAGGTCCCCTGTCTCCAAATTCACCAGGGTGGGAGAGACAGACCCCAGATCTTGACAAGGGCAGCACTAACTCGAGAGTGGGCGTGGGCAGACAAGTGACCTCAGATGCTGCCCCACTTGTGCCTGCTGGAAGGGGAGCACAGCACATGGAACGCTTGAGGATGGAAGCAGAGCAAGGGCTCACTACCTCCTACACAGAGGGAACACTTCTGTCCACATCGGAACCCACTTGTCCAGGATGCCTGCTAGACAGTGCTCACTGTTCAGATGTGACCAAGAAGCCCACTGCTCTGCTGCCCTGGGCCCAGATCTGGGAAGGGGAGTCTCCAGAAGGAGAAGCCTGGCCCACATGAACCAGATCTGTGGGATTAGACCAGACATGGTTGTCTCTTCTGATCTGTT